TAAAGATTTTATTTATTTATTTGACAGAAAGAGATCACAAGTAGGCAGAGGCAGGCGGAGGGGGGGCGGGGGAAGCAGGCTCCCTGCTAAACAGAGAGCCTGATTCGGGGCTCTATCCCAGGACCCTGAGATCATGACCAGAGTTGAAGGCAGAGGCTTAACCCACTGAGCCACCCAGGTGCCCCCCTGGTTTCTTGTGAACACTCAGAAAATGTACATATCTAGGGGTTCAAATTAAAAAAAAAAAAAAAGACTTTCTCTGGTTGCTCCAATAATATTATGGAAAGATCTACTAGTATTATTAGCTCTAGTTCTAACCTCCCACAGTTTTCAAGACATGAGGTAACTGACAGAACACAGTGACACCGTCCTAACCTCAACTGCCAAGAACCATGGGCCTAATCCAGCTCCATCATAACTTCAGAAGTAACCCTGGCTGAATTCCTCCATATTGCAATTTCCTAATACTTCCATAGAGAAGGTTCAGAATGCTGTTGGTTCCTAACAGGAGTATTACACTGAATCATCACAAATGTGAACTTACTGATGACATATGTTACAGGAACAGGTTATAAAGACAATTTGGTACATTTATTTCATAATTAGAAAACTATCTTAAAGTTTTATTGCTTTCTTGTTTCTTCTGTATTTCCTAGTTTTATATTAGCATGAAAGCAAAACTAGATTTTTCCATTTCATTTCTCTTATTGAGGTCAGCATTATCTGCTGACAGGTTTGTGGGTTTCCTGCAAGTGTGTCCAGCAGAAAATCTACTTGTAAGTGGGCATTCAAAAGACAGTGTTCACATGAATTACTGAAGAGGAAATCACCCCTGGCTTATTTCTGTATGATAATTTCCTTATAACCAATCTTTCTGGTTATGTATTTTTCAGCTCTCAAGGATCCTCTATAGATAAGTTATAATCACTGATTTTAGTCATGCCTGAGTGGCTCAGTTGGTTAAGCGACTGCACTCAGACCCCAGAGTTCTGGGACCCAGTTCTGCGTCAGGCTCCCTGCTGAGTAGGGAACCTGGTTCTCCCTCTGCCTGCTGCTCCTCTTGCTTGTGCTCTCTGTCTCTCTCCCTCTGTCAAATAAATAAATCTTTTTAAAAAATCACTGGTTTTAATCATTCCTAAAATATGCTGTTTGTCTCAAGACACACTTTTTTGGAAATTGTTATGCAAAGCAAAGGACTTTCCCCCGACTGCTTTCCTTAAAAACTGAATAGTTTCTAATTATATCCTCAACCTTATAATATTAAAAGATGTTAACACTTGATCTAAGTCATATTTCACTTAATTGAAATAGAAAAATCAAGACAGAAGGATAAAAACATATTTTTACTTATATTCCATTCATTACAAAGAACAATGATCTTCCATTTTAAGGATTTTCTTTCAATGTGGCCATTTATCATAGAAAAGAAATATATATATATACACACACACACACACAAAATGTGGTAAGCTCATATTTTTGACTGATCATGCTATTTTTTTTTAAAGAAACGCACAGCTATAGGACAACTGTTATTTGTAAGATCAAAAGATGAAATCACAATTTGATACTGCCTTACAACCCATGAATATCGAAATTGTTCTCCAGACCTCCCATTTTGGAAGCTGGGTAATACTTCCAATTGGATGCCAATCCGAAAGCAAAACAAAGATAGTTTGCAAGACAGGTAAATCCCCCTTGTTTGATTATATACCAGGTGGTACTACCAAAGTGATTCCTGGGAATTTTGTTCATAAGAAAAAAATGATGAATATATATCAGGAAAAAAAAAGTTCTTCTCCATATAAGTATGCTTCCAAATCCTGAATTTGCTGACCTAATAAAGTTCTCAAAAGCTCCCTTCTGGTGAATACTTCTAGTATCCTCAAAATGAAGTCGCACATTTCTAGCCCTAACCTCAGAACTCCTTGATCAGATCCTAACACTGAGCCTTGGCATTTACAGTCCTTAACATGAATTTAAATTATTCTCAAATACCATAATCTTGCATGTAAAGGAGAAGAAATAAAGAGAAATAAAATCATCAAATAACTACTTGCCCCAATCTAGTACATCTATCAAAATATCTATAGAGAGTTGCCATCAATTTTTTTTGTTTTTTTAGTAATATAAAAACCACTACTTCCTAAGAATTTCACCTCTAATTGCCTAATAGGACATAATAGTTACTGCCAAACCAATCTTGAGTACTAGTCCAGTACATCTTTCTCCCCATAAAAAAAATCACCAAGAATCCAAAGCCAGACTGGATATAGTCTGCAGTGTAATAGTCAGCAGTCCCCTCCCAAGGGCAAGATCAAAAATATCTCCTGAGCCAAATGGGAATTGCTGGCACTAAGGTCCCTTCTTATAAACCCTTTCTGGAGAGAAGCATTTTAATAGGTTGTAGCAGTATGTTACCTGGACAGGTTAACATAGGATATTCATCAAAAGAACCCAGTATCAGCAGGCAGAGAGCAGGGCCCAAGACAAATGAGACATATGAGCAGCAAGTTTTGATGGAAAACAGGGAAAGCACAGAAAGCCCTACTGGAATAGATGAGTACTGAAAGTTAAAAACAACAAAAGAGAAACTATATCTGCCTCTTTTATAAATTTCTGGGTCAGAGGGTGAAACCGTTGACAATGTTTTAATTGAAAGACAAGTGGTTCTGAATTGCTGAAATGGTTTTGCTAAGCTTTCACACCTCTCTCTATAAGCAAGGCTATATGAGAAAGTGTAAGTGGTGAATATTTTATTAGAAGAAGGTGAATGTGCAACAAAAGTCAATATCAAGCTTGATAAATCCTGTCATTATAAATTCTAGGGATAATTAAATACTCTGCACCAAAACACCCAGACCTAGGGAAGAATTAGCTGTACATATCGTTTGTACTAAATAGGATTAAGTAAAAAGATAAACCTACTTAAGCAAGTCCTGTTTAAAGACACTAGAAAAATTCTACAGCTATCCTTCAAAAGTTCTGAAATAAAAAACAGTCTACCTTAAACCTGAAAAGCATCTCAAAGTTGCTAGAAGCTAATTTTTGGTTGGCTTTAGATGTTATGGTTTCTATTTCCTTGTTAAAGGACACTTAAGATAAGCCCTCAACAAGTGATTAACACATTAACTAAACTGATGCACTGTCAAACTGTTTCCAGCAGATTCTGAAAATCTGGAAGACAGATAGGAAAAGGATTAAAAATTCAACTTCCTACATCGATGTTGAAGCATTCCTCCCTCTTTGTTCACCTCTCTGGGACTTTTCCATTGCCTTCTCAAATGTAACAATCTGCAACTATTAACATCTAGAGGAACATATTTTAAAAGGGGAGAAAAGACCCCAGTTGGAGGATTTGCGAATGTACTTTAATTCTGTAGGCACAGGGCCACAAAATCAGCTAGCACTAGTCTTGACCAAATCGGTGACTCAGCCTTGCGGGGAATTTTTTTTAAGTGAAAGTTCACATTTAAAATCCTACAAACATAGAAGCTCCAAGTATTCCACCTAGGACAAAGCAAAAACCTTGGAATATTCATTTGAAATGATTTAGCGATTTGTATTAAACATATTTTACCCTTAAAATACTAGAAGGTCTCTAAGTTTACCTTCAGCTCTGTATTCCTTAATTCTCTTAGTAACTTTACCCAACTATTCTTAGAGCCTTAGAAATTACAAATAGAACCTGAATGAGAAAGAAAATTCAGAATTCAAGTTACTATCATTAAGCCTAATTAGTCAGTACAGACAGGAAGATGGCAGTAGAATAAAGCATTCTGAATTAGGGGCAGGGAGGATATAAAGAGTAATTTGCAGTCCCATGAATGAAACAGCATACAACAAAGTCTGGCTAGGGTTTGGGTTATAGTGGAGACATATATATATATGTCTCTATCTCTTGAGGGGCAAGTGGCCCACCTAAACCAGAGCAGAGGTTGGCTTCTACTCATGCAACAAACTGTCTACCTGAAGTCACCAACCTCCCACAAGAAAACACAGGTCAACGACAGAGTGAATCCTCTAATTATAAAGTGAATTCTCCCTTACTGGCATTCCTCCTACTTTCTGTCCCAAAAAGGGAATCCGTATACTCAAGGCCACAAAATGGTAAGACATCTCACCCCTACGTTGTGACTCTGGCACTTCTGGTCCAAACAAAAGCCATCGGTTTTAACTAGGGTGGGATTTATTCTGTCCATTCAGTGAAGAGCTGTGGCTGTTTTGCAGGGCGTCCTGCAGGCTCCTGCTTTGACTCTCGCCTCAAGTCACATTGTGATATCACCATGACGGACGGACCCCTGATATTCAATGAGTCTTCGACTGAAAAAACTGGTATTATCGGGAGCCCGTGAAAGGAAGCTTGAACGACCTGCAGAGTGCCTCACCAACAGACAGGAGGGTGACAGTGCGGGCGGGCACCTCCTCGCAGAGCAGGACCAAGCAAGCCTTTCTGCAAGTTTCCCTTCCTTCCACTAAATTAACCTGCCAAGCACCCCCCCCCCGCCCTATTAGGAAAAGTCACGCAGGCAACTCGCGCGGAAGGACAGGGGGGACAGCTCCCTGCGCACAAGAGAAGTTTGGTTTGGCAGTGGCCAAGGCTTAACCCTTCCTGCCAAAAGAGCCGCGGCAGACACCACCTTCTCCAGGGGCAAACCCAGAAGGCCAACTTTCCCCTCCTCTGCGCAAAGCAGCCCAAACTTTGGTGTTCACCCACCTGGCCACGCAGCGCAGCTTGGAGTCTGGAGGCACCCGATGCCCCCAGACCCTCGGCAGATGGTGGCACTGACCTTCACGCCAGCCCCCGGTCCCGCGCCGGCCTCTGACCACCCCCGCCCCAGCCTTCAGCTGCCTCCCCCAGTCCGTTTCCACCGCCCCCAAACCCTCGTGGGAAACCCACGGTGGGGGCGGCTGCAGTCCGACTCCGCGTGTCTCGACGGCCAACGTCCCTCTGCACCCCAAAAGAGTCCCAAACCCGACGCCTCTGGCTGCCTACTCACCGTTAGTAAAGGGATCCATTTTCCCCCCGCGGCTCCTTACAGCCGAAGCGCCCAAGCTTCCTACTCCAAGAACTGAAGCGGCCCTGTCGACTGAGCATGCCCAGCGCGGCCGCCAAGGGCTGTCGGGGAGGTGCCGCGAGAGACGGCGCCGCTCCGCCGCTCTGAGGTTCCGCTGCTCCGGGTTTTTGCAACAGCTGCAGCAAGAGCTAGGGAGGCCAAAGGGAAAAACACCACACGGCCCGAGGCCAACTCTTCGGAGAGGAAGGGGAGGAGCGGGTTAGAGATGGGAGCAGCCTCCTGGGCGGGGCCTGAAAAAGCCACGCCCCTCCAGGAAGACCAGCCGCTCAGGTTCTTCAATACAAGGGGAAAGTGTTCAATCGTTCAGCAAAGAAGATGGTCTACTGCATCCCGGCCCGGCCGGGTCCTAGGCGTACCGCGCCCCAAAACATCGATCACTGCCCCCTGTAGTGGACATTCCAGAGACAGACAATAAACACAGAAAGCACACAAGACTGAAAGAAATGTCCCGCTGAGCATTAAATTAGGGTGATGTGATGGGAGAGTGAGTGGATAGCTAGTGCGGACAGCTTGGTGAAGAGAGGCTTCGCCGAGAGGTGCCACTGAGGCCGCGATCTGGAGGTACAGCTGCCGCCGGCGGGCGAAGATCGCTTTCCGGAATTCGAAGCTTCGGTTTCCCTGCGGAGACTGGCTCGGGATTGCTCACTTCGCCAAGACCAGAGGGAGCAGGTGCTATGGGTCATCCCGGAACCGCTGCCGGCCCACACCAGAGTGGTCCCTACGGGTCTGAGGCCAGGAGACCGAAGGGAGGGCGGGGACTCCCGAGGAGCCCCAGACGCACTGGTTCCAGTCCCGTCGCGGGCAGCCCAGGGAGCGGCCTCTACATGCAAGCGGATCACAAAACCTGGAGCTGGATTCGCCGGGGGTGCGGGCGCCGCAGTATGCGAGCAGAAGGCCTGCTGGAGCTGAGCTTTAAATCAACACCTGCGGCTCCAGTGGGTACAGCCGCATGGGGCCCGCGGACAGGACAGACATTGCTACCCAGTTGAAGCGGAAACTCTAAGTTGCTTCTGCCTCCTCTACTCTCGCCGTTGCCTCCAACCGCGAGCCAGCATTGTTTTCAATGTCAAATCCAGGCATTACCCAGCGAACCTTCGGGATGGAACAACCAGGGCCCCAGGGACCCCGGGTTCGTAGGGGCCCGCTTCCTTATCCCTTATTCGATGTGTGCGCCGCCGCCACGCTCGCAGCGAAAGCCTCTGCCCTCCCAGCGCGCAGCCACAGCCTCCTTCCCTCCCCTCCCCCCGCCGTCCCCCCCTCCCCCGCAGCCCTGGCCCCTGCGGCGACTTGGCTCTGGCTGTGCCTCACTGCGCCTGCCAACTGTCACACACTCCTCTGAGGCTGTTAAAAGCAGGACGTCGGGTGCAAACAAGCCGGCGGCGACCGCAAACAGCCTGGGCAAACAGGGACGGCTGGGGTGTCGTTTGACCCGTACGGAATTAGAAATTAGGTTTTAAAGAAGTGAAATCGGACTGCAATCGTTTATTTTTAAATGTCAGCTGTATTAAATCACACTCTTAACATCCCATCTTCAAAACCTCCAATGGATACCCATCAGTTAAAATAAAAGTGAAACTCCTGGTCTAATTCTGGATCCTCCTCTACACGCGCTAAGGATGCTTTGGCCACAGAGGCCTTCTTGCGGTTCCTGGAAGTCCGCAAGTTCCATCCAGCATTGTTAAACCCATTCCTCTAGCATGTTCCTTGCGCAAGAATGATTCCTTCTGCCTGGTACTTTGCCTGCTGGTATCTTCTTGTCCTTTAGGTGTCAGCTCAAATGTCACCTCTGCAGAGAGCCTTTCCCTGACCACACAACGGAAAATAGCCACAAACACAGTCTCCTCTCTAAAGACCCGCCCTGCTTTTCTTCACAGCACACCTCACTCTCTGAAACAATGCTTCTGTTTGCTGTTTCATCATAATCAATCTCCCTCTCAAGAATGCAAGCTTCATGAAGGCAGAGTTACTACCTTTTTAAGGGCAGTATCCTAACCCAAGGTAAGTATGCAATAAATAATTTATGAATGCATATGGGAATATATGCAATGGTAGTTAGGGTTCTAGTTCATTTGCAATGTTGACTTCTGCCAGAAACAGTAGTGTGTTTGTTATCCTTCCGGAGTAGATGTCTGTATCCTATGATACCTCAAAGTTACTCTCTCCCCACCATGTTAAGCATAGGCAGAGCCCTTAGCACCCTCCCTCCCCCAGGGCACTTCAGAATCCCAAACAGGAAGTGAACCACAGGGTTGGTGCCAACGGTGTTCAGAGGTTATATAGTATATGCAGGGCTGGATTTTGTTAAAAGGACTCCATACCTTATATTGCTCAGATAAGAGACTCATCCTTATACTTTAGGTTAGGTCATGTTCCTTTGGAGTTATTTTTGCAGCCAAAGCACTTTGTATCAGAGATATTTAAAACAACACAGAGTGTTAAGTCTCCTCACCTCACCTTACCTGTAAGCCAGAGTCTGTCATGCTTTTAAGTGTGAAACATGTTATCTTGTGTTTTGTCGTAAATACCTAAATTCTGCAGGCTTGTGGTAAAAATGCTTCACCTCTGCAGTAGCAAATATAGGTGGGGCATCATGTCTTCCTGAGATTTGAGAAAGAGATAAATAACTTCTTTACCTCTTTGCCAACCTCTTGCCGTCCATCCCTCCCATTCCTACACACACACATTAAGGACATTTGCGGACCTGTGGTTTTGTAATGGAGGTAAAAAAAACTAAGCAACCAAAATGTTTCATAATCCTACCTAATCTCAAAAGAATAATAATAAATTTTGTTTTGCTTTATTCTGGGATTTCCTTGTGGTATGGTTTTTGTTTGTTTGGATACCATTTTACATTTGACTTCATGAAGACTTTCTGAGAAAACACAATTTCATAAATTTGCTGCTGATTCTGTTTCAATCATTAACCTCCTCTTACCCTCCTACACAGAGCGGCTTCTTTAGTTTAAGGATCTAATACTTCAAATTATTATGAAGTTACTATTCATTATCAGAGGAGATAGTGTGACATTATCTGCTATACCCATCTACTAGTTTCAAAATCCTTACCATTTAACATTTGAAAACAAAATATTTGGAGGACTAATTATAGAATAAATAACACAAGAGGAAAAAATGTAAGCTCCCTGAGTAACAAACAGCATTTATTTATAAAGAAGCAGCAAATTTGCTAAACAGTGAATATAGAAACTTTCATCAAAATAAAAACTGGGTCTGCCATGGATCAACTCATCCAAGTCTCAATTTAATAGATGAGATGAATTCTGGAAAGGTTAGAGTCACTCACAGTTCGATGGTAGATGCAGACTGGAACTCAGGTGGTCTATGTTCTAAACCAGTGCTCTTGAGTTTATTGCTTCCCTATTCCCACAGGGAATTTAGGGCCAATGACAATAATACACAAGCAATAAAGGGTAAAGAGAATTATAGCTAAATTCAGGCTACTGGAAGACTCTTCCATTAATTATTTAATTGATGTTCCAGTTTAATTTACTGATATTCCATGTGAACTTTTAAGTTTAGCGTTATTAAATATGTTTTCTAATTATTTTGAAATAAACTAAACAATACATTAATTCAGTGTATACCTCAGGAAATGCTATTTATTCAGCACTCTTAAATAAATAGAGGATTCTGCTTGCTTCCAGGACAAAGATGACCACCATGAGGTTTCCAGCTATCCCAGACTTCTACCCAGTCACCCTAAGGATGAGAGGAGTCAATATCTAATTACACCTGTCACCTATTTTCAACACACATGCTGTGCCTCAATTAGTGATGTTTGAAGCTATCACAAATCTAGAAATGCTTAGAGCACTAAGGAAAGCAATATAACTATCCAACAGAGTTTTTGTAGAGCTTAGACATTAGCAAAAAGATTCAGCTAAATAAACGGAAAGGTTATTAGGAAGGAACAGTTATATAGTAGTTCAGATGCTTTGGGCTACAAAAACCAAAATGTTGAATCAAATTAGCATAAACATTAAGGAAATTTATCATCTCACATAAATGCAGAGATAAGACAGCCTCTAGTTACAGCTCCCAACCTTACCAAGAACCCCACTTCTCACTCTGTCTGCTCTGGGACCAATTTTCCATAAGACTGAGTGTCTCGTGGACAGATAGGGGACTGCATCAGAGAAGGGAGAAGGAACAATTTCTTGGTCTCTTTCTCAAGAGCAAGGAAACCTTTCTCAAAAATCCCCCATTAGTGGGGCGCCTGGGTGGCTCAGTGGGTTAAAGTCTCTACTTTCAGCTCAGGTCATGGTCTCAGGGTCCTGGGATCGAGCCCCGCATTGGGCTGTCTGCTCAGCGGGGAGCCTGCTTCCTCCTCTCTCTCTGCCTGCTTCTCTGCCTACTTGTGATCTCTGTCTGACAAATAAATAAATAAAATCTTAAAAAAAAAAAATCCCCCATTAGAACCCTTCTTAGGTTTCAATTGCCAAAACTGAATTTTGTACATTTCTAAACCAATCACTGGAAATAAAAACAGGGTTACTATGAGTGATTCTTAAACAAAGCAGAGTTTAGGAATGCTGAGTTTAGGATCACTTCCTTGTTTCATAGGGGGAAATGGGGGGAACTTGGATAAAATCTTTTTTATTATTTAAAAGAGAAAAGGGAGAGTCAAGCAACCAAAATGTCAAGTAGGCAACCTAGTCCACTGAAGGTTATAAATGCTGATATATTTTAATAATAATTTGATAATAAATTCTTTAAACCCTAAGGTACTTGTCACAGGAAAAGTAAAGACAGAGTCCAATGCAATGTAACTTTTGATGTAATTGATCAATGAGATTAAGATTCCAAACCAAGAAATGATATATTATTAAACTTCAAATGCTGATCTGGAAGTAACTACTAAAATGGAAAAATAAATTAGGCATTTATATTAGTTTGCAAATGCTGCTACAAAAAAAGTATCACAATCTAGGTATAAGATTTATTGCCTCGGAATGTATTGCCAACAGAAGTTTATTGCCTCATAGTTCTGGAGGCTAGAAGCCCAAGATCAAGGAATCAGTCCCCTCTGAAGGGACCAGGGAAAAGTATGTTCCAGGCCTCTATCCTAGCTTCCTTGGCTGGTGGCAAAATAACTCTAGTCTTCAGATAGCATTCTCCCTGTGTGCACACCTGTGTCCATATTTTCCCTTTTAATAAGGGAACTAGTCATGTTGGGTCAGGGGCCCACTCTTCTCCAGTATGACCTCATCTTAACTAATTACATCTGCAAT